CTCATCCGGAGTTCCACAAGGAAGTATTCTTGGTCCTATGCTATACTCCATATATACGGCTGACTTGCCAGAAACCGGACAAACAATGCTTGCCGCCTATGCCGACGACACAACAATACTAGCGTCTTATGAGAACCCTATTGAAGCATCCCGGATACTGCAAACGCACTTAGAGCAATTCGAAAAACGGCTACAACGCTGGAGAATTAAGGCCAACGAAACTAAATCCGTGCACATCACCTTCGCTTTGAGACACGGAACCTGCCCTCTGGTACTATTAAACGGAACATGCATACCACAAGAGGACTCAATCAAATACTTAGGCCTTCACCTGGACAGGCGGTTGACCTGGCGCACACATATTCTCGCCAAAAGAAAATAACTGGACATTAAATTTAGTCAGATGCATTGGCTAATTGGCAGAAAGTCAGAACTGTCTACCGAAAATAAACTTCTAGTGTACAAGACAATACTGAAGCCTTTTTGGACTTACGGCGCACCATTATGGGGAACTGCAAGTACATCCAATATGGAAATGTGGCAGAGATTTCAAAATAAAGTACTTCGCGGTAGAGTCAATGCACCCTGGTACCCCCCAAACAACTACTACAAGCTGATGTAGGCATACCCACAGTACGGGAAGAAATTACAAACATTAGCCGCAAATATAAAGACAAGATAGAAGTACATCCAAATGAACTGTGCAACCACACTATTAAACGACGCAGACGAGTCAAAAAGACTCAAAAGGCATAAGCCAACCGACCTAACGACGCGCTTCACATAAATGCAATACATACTGTATTAAAGTCACACTCGAAATAGATTCCTAGAGAATGCTCACTGGAGCANAAAGAAAACTTTATGTTGTGTCTGTCCATAATGTAATTACTTGTATCTACACTGTGCTCTGTCTGCAATTGGCCTTGCGGCTGTTGACTCGGCACATAAATAATAAAGAATTGAATTATTATATGTACTTTATCTATCAGCTTCAGAGGCAATGTTATGTTGGATTGTACGAGAAAATTCATTCATATATGGATGCAGAATTTTTCTTTCAGGAACTAGGCTTCAGCCGGAATAGTCAGAAGCTGATCCTGCCCAGTCGGGCCGACACAAAAAGCATAAAAGTTGCTTCACGTTTCGCTGCCTACAAAGCTCATCGTCTGTACACGCGTAAAGAATGACCCGGAAAGGAACGTTGTGGTGAATTGTTTCAGCATTCTGCTTCATGGTTAAGGACTATGAAAAATATCAATCAGCTTAGTCGGAACAAAAGCCAAGATTCGAATTGACGGCTCCTGAATATGTGGACTCCATCAGATGCGTTACAGTAGAGGGATCACTCTTGCTTATACAAATTTTCTGTGTAATCGCAGTACTGAGACTGAGAAGCGGTCCCAGAGAACATTAGCCGTTGTCACTCGGAAATTTATTCTCGCGGTCAAGCTTATTTCTGACACACTTTAAGAACTGGTCAGGTGAGCAATTTCACAAAATGTCCACTACCCGCACGCCCTAAACAAGTATGCCTGCTTTCCTGAGTTCTTCAAATTTTATAGTCGTAGTCATACACCCTACAAAGAAAAANAACTCCGTGGCTTTAGTCGGCAAGCGAACTATACGACCGAGTGAGCGCCCGCCGCTTGTCGGCGAAGTTAGTGCCAACTTTAGAGGATAGAGGGTGTCGCGTGGTCAGCGCAACTAATCCCCACGGCCTTTAATTTCGGTTTTCTAGACCGGAGCCGTTACTTTTCCGTTCAAGTAGCTCCTAAATTATGCTCATGAGGCTGATTGGACCCCGTTCCAGGCTCACTGCTTCTCAGAAAATCTATTCGCGTCGGGGATCGAACCCGGGACCTCTAGATCTGTAGCCAGGAATTCTGACCAGTAGACCACAGAGGCGGTCCTGTCATACACCCTACACAGAATTTAAAACTTTCTTCAGAAATTCAGTTGAGGACGACACTGGAGCATGAGAAAATTAGTGCTATGTTCTCAGCTATAACGAACCAGAATCGTAAGATACTAGCATAACCTACAAACACATGTACTCCGGTACATACAACGTCATCAGGAGTTTTGAAGATAGGGTTGCATATCGATTTAGCCTCATAGAAACAGTCCTCTGATAAAATAAATATGAGCCATGGACCACCCCTGTGGTCTAGTGGTCAGAGTTCCTGCCTACAGATCCAGAGGTCCCAGGTTCGATTCCCGGCATGACCAGATTTTCTTGGAAGTAGTGGGTCTGGAACGGGCCCACTCAGCCTCATGAGGATAACTGAGGAGCTATTTCAAGGAAGTAGCGGCTCCGGTCTAGAAAACCGAGATTAAGGGCCGTGGGGATCCGTTGCGTTGACCACGCGAGACCCTCTATCCGCTAAAGTTGGCACTAACTTCGTCGATAAGAGGCGGTCGCTCGGTTTGTATAGTTCACTTGCGAACTACAAGCCACGGAGTTTGTTTGGTTTGTTTGATATGCTTGACCTAATATTAATCCCAGGGAGGTGAATCCTTCGGGTGATGCTGATCAGAACATTCCCGCCTTTTATGCAAACCAGATGTTCATTATCATGTTGACAAGAGTCAGAAAGTTGTTTCTGATATACACGATAAAACTGGCTACATCTACTTTTTGTACCTACATCTATATTTCGATGTAGGTATTACCTACATGTTAATTTCAGCTGACAACATCGAGAATAGATCATAAAACGTTGTGGCAAATTGGTCAGACAGATTTGATTTTCCTAGAAATTTATTAGACCTACTTCCGACCTCTATGTGTTTCATCTACCGTGTTCTTTCCTCCATGGGTAATATCGATTGTTTCCATATTTACCGCACAGACTGTCTACTGAATGTTGGCTGCATCACTTCAATAATGTTGTGGTTTCTTGTTGGTGCCTGTGTACGAATTATTTGAATCGTCGAGAAAATATTGTCCAAAACGGATCTCAATCGCAACAGTGATAGGTCAGAGGTTTTCACTTAATTAATTTATTTCTTTAATTCAATTACTTTCAGCGCATGAACGTGCCTCTGTATGGAAAGAGTTTACTTATCAAAACATGAATAGATTGTGTCCAGGTTTTAGACAACTATTCTGTAACTTAACACTTGAAATCAAGAACCAATGTTAATATTTTCTCTTATGTGTGTTTCTTGTTAGTTTAGCGTTAAAGTACCTTCTATTTTTAGCTAGGTTTTAGGCTGATTATGGAAAAAATGAATTTTGGATTATTAAAAAGTAACTAGAATTCGACCTAAGATTATGCTTTGGGATGTGATGCCTTTTACTTTGGTAGATGAGTTGCAATGTTTCGGAGGAATCTGCTACCTCAATCTTCAGGATACAAAATTCGTCTTCTATTCTGAAGATGGAGGCATCAGTTATCTCGGAAATGTGGACCCTGTCTACCAAAATACACAGTGTTCTATACAAGAAGACCGTACCTTAATATTTGTCAGCGTGGGAACCACAGATGTCACATAACCAGATTTTATAGAGTTAAGTCTTCATCTCTCTCTATTTCAAGTAATAATTCTCACTCTCTCTCCTTTTCGCTCCCACTTTGGAGCATAGGGCTGATTTCTTAGTTTCGTGATCATTTTGCATGATCATCATCGTGATCACCCTTGGACGGGTGATCAGTTCGTCGCAAGGCCTCTACCTAAACCCAGGACAACACAAACACAGAATAAACGCACACACACACACACATACACACACACACACTCTAAACATCCATGCCTTGTGTGGGATTCGAACCCACGATCCTAGCTTCCGAGAGAGCGACAACAGTATGCCTTTAGGCCGCTCGGCTACCGTGACCGGCAAGTAATAATTCACCACTTGGAAATCCTTGAAATTATTCTTGACAGTATTACCGGAGATTACGATAATATTTTTGGACAAAAGATCTACCAGTAAGTTTTATAATTATTAATTTAAATGTTCCTTTAGCCTTACGGTCTATAGCCTATGATTACATGTGAGGAAAAGTAGGTACCACAAGAGCTGAAAATAATTTAACATTTAATAACCTGAAGGGCAGTCATCCCCTTGTGTAACACTAGACATTGAAGGTTCGTAGGGAATGTGAATGCAAAGATCCATAGATTCTAGGCTTCGACATTAAATGGAGGTGAATGCTCGATCAGCTTGACGTCCCTGCTTCACGTCCCTGCTTCTGCATTCCTGGGGGGAAGACTCTCCCTCTGTTGAGAATCGTGGACTCAGAGCGGTGCGCTAACGCGAGGTTTCCAGCACCATTTGGACGGGAGAGTGAGTGGGCTCCTGGATCGTCTGGACGATCTTTATAAATCGGGCACCATACCATAAACAAGTAGGAGAGGATAGAGGAATGGCTCTACGCATTTTTAAACTTGCCACTAGATGAAGACAAGTGATCAATTTCACACAACCGGGGGAAAGAGTCCGTCATAGTCGCTGCTTAAGAGGCCGAGAAGACCTCGGAGCAGAGTAGCAGGTGCTCGAACCCCGGCACACAGAGTCCAAACCGTCTCCAGGTTCCACCCAGCCTCTTATCTAGAGACGTCTTGTGCTCCTTGTCTTGGGATACAGCTGCCGGGGCTTGAAGCTGACCACTCACTTCCCTATAGCACCAAGGTTAAGTATTCTTAAAGTTACGTATCCACTCCCCATACGCATTCATTGCGTGGTGCTTAATTAAGTATAGGGTCATTATTCTTTTACCTCTTATTTGTAACTTATTGTTATGTAGCTATTGTTGTTTCGCTATATCTTATGTTTTGGAGTGCCAACTTAAGAGAATATGTAACAGACACGGGAGTAGGGCTGTGGCGGGAGTCAACTGTACCCCTCTCCCCTCCCACGCATTGCCATTCGGTAGTAGTATTTCCCTTCACCGCCATTCCGGTGTTTGCGGTGAGTTGCATGCAGTCGACCGTGGCTATAGGCCTGTTCTGAACATATGCACACGTTGGCTATCATATTAACCGCACCAGGAGTTTGCAGGAACGCTGTTATACCTGAGGGCAAGAGGTAGAACAACCTGCGTACAAGCCAGCCAGAAGCAAGTTGAAGACGAAGGAAGGGGGGCCCCTCGTTGCCCCCCTGGAGACGGACGACCTTGGTGTGAAAGCCAAGCCTTCTTTAGCTTAGCCTGGTCGGTTGGTTGCCGCCAGTGAAGCAAGTAACAGACGGGCTGGAGAGACGCTAAGAGAGGTGGTCGTAGTCTGATTTTCGGTATGAAAACATTGTCCTTAAGTGGAAGTGCTAGTTTGTAGCCTCGAAGTCTGAACGGTGAAGTTGTAACATATGTCAGTGAGAAGGAAAAGAGACAGGAAAACAAACCCTTCGCATGGTGTTCCAAATAATTTAATCGTCGTTTCGCAGACTGACATGGGAGGAATATGACGATGTTGTGAAATACTTCGTTATGTACATATTCTGTGTCCTGAAGAGTTTCACGTAATATAATTTTTTTTTCAACTAAGTTCAAACCGTTGTCATTCACATTAAAACTCAATTTATGGTACTAGAGATCCTCAAGGAGGTTAGGCAGTACCAACACACAAAAGTGCCAACAAAACTAGTATTTCCTGAACATATGTGAGTTACCCTGTAACGTTGTTAAGTGCGCTTGCCCTACCTCCACATTCGTAAGGAGGTTGTGGTTGTGAACGACATGGGAAGAAGTTATAGCGGTGAGAAGACGTAGGATCAGCTCTGTTGTGTCATGGCGTCTCTGACTGATTGTGGTGTAGGGGTCAAGGTCGTGTTTTTGTTGATGATGCAGGGAGTGTTGGCCCAGGAGGCTATCTGTTACTCCGCGGGCAGCGTCGCAGGTGCCGTAGTTGGTACCTTGCTGGTCACCTTAGCATTAGTAGGACTCGCTTACCTGGTCTGGCGCGTGTACTGGAGGGTCCGAAGAGGTAAGTCTGGCAACATTGTCACATAATTAGACTGTCAGCGAGGAGATGCATTTAAAAAATAGTGCGTAATATGATGATGATGATGATGATCTCTTCATTCACGTCCAGTAATGGCACTTCAGCTCCATCTGTGCTTGTTCTGGTGATATTTCTTCTTCCCCTAATCTGAAATTCAGTATAATTCTGTTTTATATGGTAATAAATAGGATAAACTGTAAATTTCTTTCAGGTCGCTGGACCAAATAGTTAACGACGACCACAAGGAACGTTGTGTGAATATTTGGTAATAAAAAGCGTACACTTGCTGAACCGTGTTGTAGGAACCCATGCATATATGACAATTTCTTTCCGCCTAGTATTTTATAGTGAACTGTGGCTTGCCTGCTTGCTTGCTTGCTATCTGCTTCTTGCTGGCTGCTTGCAAAATTTAAATTTCGACCCTGAAGACGGATGCAGTACTTCCTTCGAATATTCGGTGAAAAAGTATCGGACTACACGGCCCCACATCCCAGAAGATTGTACTCTTCATAGCCTCCGATGCGATTATCGTCGATGCGACTACAAAGAAAATTTCTTTATGGTACGGATTGTATTTAACTATCCCGTAATATTGTTTAGTGGTGTGCATTTGTTTGTTGACGATTGACGATAAGGTTTGTGTTCCTGGGTGATTATGTAACTGTTTCATCTATTGGCTCTGCAGTTCTACATTATATCGGCCTGTGACATATACTCGTATTTACGGGCATTGGAATGATTTGGAACGTAGTTTTCTGAAATTTTAGGCCAAGTAGCCTTTTAATATACTATTCAGTTAGGCCTTGAAGAGTCTGAGAGACACCACGAACATCTCAAGATAGGCTCGAACGGAGACCTAGAGGACACATTTTCGAATTTTTAGACGTAATTTGGTATCAAAAGACCAGCATATCCAATTCAGCAATTATGAACTGTGGACACTTGTACCCCCATACCCGCATGGTGTTCGTAGCCTCATGATGGGGTAATGGGATGTATAATTTCGCTGTTGGACACGAGTTGAATGGGATTGGAAAACGTCTTGACAACTTTGTCTTTTGTCCAGCACTTTCTGTGCAAGGAATAAGTAAAGTCTGGAACGAAAATTTCCCCATACCTTACCGTGTTTATAATATCCCTCCACTGAGTCTCCACTGAAAGGAAATATGTAAATTTCATAGACGAAAGAGCACTTCGGCTAAAAGAAGGCCCAGAAACGCTATTCTAATGCACGAAAGCTGAATAATATAATAGGGTCCAGTTAATGACAAGAGTAGTGTTTCCTGAAGTCCGTTTGAGAATGAGACAAATCAGGCGGCTGGAAATTCCCATTACCTCTCCCAGAAGCAGGCCCAGCAGACTCAATCCTAACGCTTTCTTGGTACAGACAGAGATGGTGTGACCAAGTGCAGGTTGGGAGGGCATGGCATGTCATGCCGGACATAATGGGACAGTCCTGACTTCGCATTGTTTGATAGATTTACCGTTTAATCAGGCAGAATAATAAAAGGAAATTATGTTGTCAGTACAGGTAAAACCCTCTGTCGTTCATCAGTATTGTTCTTTGAATATGATATTTATACTGTTGTTTTAGACTAGTACAGAAACAGTTGAAATTTCAATGGGAAGAGGTTAAGAACAGACTTCTTCAAAAATACCTAACCACAGCAACTTCAAAAGTTCTGGAAAGACAAGTACGATTCATCTAAGTTGGAATAATAACGTGAACTAAGCGATGTTATGTAGAGGAAATATTTCGGAATAGCTGGACACTGATACCGCTCAGACATACCTTCCATTGTTGCCATTTGATTCTTCAATTTGTAAGTTCATGCTAACTTACATAACGACAGAAGAGCCTTTTATATGTGAGGATTTAAGGATACGGTTTTTTACAACCGTTTGTATTGCATATGCCTGCGTCATTAACGCCTTTATACTTAGGCCTTGGAATTTTAAAAATGTAATTGTGAAACATGTTACAGCGTATTTAATTTTTAAATGTTTAATCCTGAACTGTAACCAACTGCCATCAAACTCCATGGATCAACGTCCTTGAAAAACGAACAGTCACTAATAGACCCCGTTATCTGTGGAAACCCAAGATTCATTATCTGTACAAAAAATCCCTCCAAATGAATCCAGTCTACAGTCATACAATCTATTTAAGATCCATTTTAATATCATTCTCCCATCTACGTCTGGGTCCCCCACGTTGTCTCTTCCATTCAGCTTTCCAACGAAATCTTTGTATGTGTGTCTTCAGATATTATATTTGTGTGTTCAGAGGCGTGTTTACCTAATGGCGCTGTCGTTACCTTAGACTGTATAGCGTCGAATGGCTGGATTATTAGTGGAATCGGAAATGATGAGGAAGAAAGCGGTCGTGGCCTAATTTAAGATGCTGTCACAATATTTGGCTGCCCTGAGGAAAGCCATGAGATGTCTTGTGTAATGACCAATTTAAGAATTATTCTGTTAACTGTCAAAGCCATGATTATCTACACTGGTCGGAGAATCATACGTATTTTGGCATGTATACCCGTTGCTAGGCAATGACTGCGAAACAGGCAACTATACAACGGCGGTTACTAGGTAACGGCCCGTAAACGGCAACAGAGGAACAGTGTTTTCTTTGCGGTCCATGTCGAGATGTTATAAGCGATACAGTTAGGGGTGAGTTTAGTCATCCTGTGTGGAGGCGGCGTCGAATACCTACACCGTAGCCCTGCGAGTCGTAGGAGGCGACGAAAAGGGAAGTCTTGAATCTGAGACAGTAAAATATGGTCGCGACTCTCCCACGGGTCTCGGTCCCGAGAATGACTGCGCTGTCGAGGACCAGCAGCAATTGTAAAGGAAAAACCTCTCCTATCGTCAGAGAGAGCGCCCCACATCAACAAATTCGCAACTGTCTGACAGTAATACAGATCTGGTCGTAAGCCCCAGATGGATGCTTTATTCCAAGAGAGACTGGCCGACCGACCATCGGTCGTAACATAAGACTCAGACTCAGACTCAGACTGAGATAGTGGGTCAGTTAGAGAACTGCTGAGGGTCAGTCGTTGCGAGCTGTTGCTGTGAGAAGCATGTAGCTGAGGCCGGGGATAGTTCGGGAACACAGAGGAAAGGGAACGCCCGCCATTGAAAGCCGCTACCAAGCAACGGCTAATGAAAACGTGTGTGTGCGCGCGCGCGTGTAATAGTGAATTGTAAAGTGTAGTCATACGCTGTATGAAAGAATCAAATAAATCCGATCACCAATCCAAAACCCGTCACTAGACACTCCATACATGTGACAGTATAGTTCACAAGAAAATGTGTCTGCATATAAACATTAAAACATAAGACTGACTCAGTGGTACACGGTCTTTCTTAAGTAGTTGATTGGTATCCATTCGGCCAAGGTATTTCATGAGTTTACGAATCCTGAATGCGCATCGCCATGTTTACAAATGTCCAACATTTGGATCCTACCTAGAGTTGCTTGGTCTGTTTCACAATTTTGGTACGTGTTCCTAGCCAGAGACGTTGAAGCATCTCTAAACTAACACATACGGACAAAAGCTGTTTCTGTAGGGTGTACTTTAATACTGTCCTGTCCATTTTCGTTTAGGTTTCCCTAGTAGTCCTGGTACAGACAAGTGTTAATTAAAATTCAGTTCTTTATAGTGTTTCTCCTATTGGGTGGCGTATCTTATAATCCATTTCTTGTAATTCCTTTTGATATTGTTGGAAATTGCCGGTCACGGTAGCCAAGCGGGTTAAGGCGTGCACTGTCTTCGCTCGCTCGGAACCCGGGATCGTGGATTCGAATCCCACTCAGGGCATGGATGTTTGTGTGCGTTTTTCTGTGTTTGTGTACAGGTAGAGGCCTTGCGGCGAGCTGATCACCCGCCCAAGGAGTCCTACCGAATGTCTAAGATCTAGAAAAACCGAAGTGAACGGAGAAGTTCATGGAGGTAGGCCTAGGACCACTGGGGCTGTAGTGCCAAGGAAAAAAAGAAATATTGGAAATTAATTATACGGTTGAGCAATATTTAGGATATATAAGACTAGAAAATTAAAACAAATGACATTTTAACTAATGTAGATCTGCAAATTAATCAAATTAAATTTTAGATGATTTTATATGTGTAATGAATGTTCCTTTTAAAGGGTTTTAACGATGGAACGTAGTAGTTTCCTAGAACACGTAGGAGCCGGGATAGCATAGTCGGTATAGAGACCGGCTACGGGCTGGACGACCGAGGTGTTGGAGCTCGAGTCCCGATAAGGTCAAGAATTTTCTCTTCACCACGTCGTGCAGACCGGCTCTAGGGTCCACCTAACCTCCGCGTGGTCTCTACCCATCAGGTTTTCAGACCGAAATTTTGTATGCATATTTCACATCCTATGTGTGGTACAGTCTACGCCTGACGCTCGAAGCGTACACGGAAGCTGGTGAACTTTCATTGTAAAGATTCGTTACCAGGTAACAACTGTGCACTTGAGTTATCAGTGATATACACTCGCCCTCTAAGGTCAAGTTTAATAATTCTACATTATCTTTCAACTGAAATAGTGAACAAACTCTAAGTACATTTACATTCACGTTAAAATTCACGACCCAGTTATGGGTCGTATATAGCAGCCCAGCCAGATACGAATTTCCCAACGCTGCCTCATAGTCAAATGCTGATGAACTCGGAATTTTCACAGCCGGTGCCTCTGCAAGCATACTCACAAAACTCGATAGCATACAGCAGCCGGCCACAAAATAATACTCAAGTTCCTGTAACAAATCCATTAACTCCGCAAACCCCAACATACATACCAAACTCAAACCCGAAATGTCAGTGGCAGCAAATTGCACACAGTAGAAAAAGAACCTGATTCATCAAAGAAGCAAGAATATTGGCTAGGAGGCACAGTAACAGTAAGCAACAGATTTAGTGCTCTCACAGACGAAGAAACTATGGAAGGAGAATCTTTACAGAGAACCA